GGGAATCGAACCCGGAACCCCGAAGCCTCCTGATTGCCGGTCAGGTGTGCTACCACTACACCACCGAACCCTGCACATTCAGTCGAGCCTCTCGATGCCATCCTTATCCGTCACAATAATAATAAGATTTCTATAGCCAAAAGCGAGAATTGTATTAATATTTGGATCTTCAGTGAACGGATTCGCTAGGAAGGCTCCAAGTCTTCCTCGCAGTGATCCTCTACATGCCCTCAACATGCATTTGCCCTCTCTATGCTCTTCGCATGCGTTGGCTAGACGCTGTTCGAAGGCTTAAGCTATGAGGGGCAGCTCATTCCCTCTTTTTGCACCTGCTCTTTTCCTCCTGTCGACGATCTTACAAAAAGCTATTTCAAGCATATCTGTGAGGGCCAAAATTCTTAATTTTTCATACGGAAGAATGATAATAAAGAAATTAAAATGATTCGCCTTCCTTTTAAAGAGCTGAAACTCCCAGCTACTGGATTCCAAGCCCCAAATTCTGTAGTTATTCTGCAGTCCTGAAAATGTTATTATTATTATATTGGAGGTATGTTGCTATTCTGGTATTTTTTAATAATATAGTAAAAATAAAAATAAAAAGTTACACCAAAGTCCTCGTCGAGACTGTGCCCTAGGATGACCCCCGCAAGGACGCGATCTCGTTGCAGACTTCGGGAAGTGGAACTTCTCGGACGCGCAGGAGCTGTGGCTGAGGAAGCCGGACTGGGAGGTCGGCGTGAAGAGCGCCGTCATCTCGATCATCATGGCCTTGGGGATCCTGGGCAACGGGGCCGTCATCTACATCATCCTCTCCAACCCTCCAATGAAGAGGTAAAGAAAATCGGAGGACTCCCAATTACACATTTGTATTTTTTTTTCTCCCAGAAAGTCTCGGGAGAAAGAAAGTGAAGAAGAAAAAACTCCTTAGCGTCAATTCTCGTCCACTTCGGTTGCTGTGTGTCAAAGTAGGGCAGGCCACTAAGTCCAGTTTTAATGAAATTACTAATACCACGTCAAATTCACTAGACTTGGATCGAAGCATAGGCTCCGTACAGAAATAGATACCGTTTATTTTGATAATTTAGGCAGAAAATGAAAGGAAAACAATTCGGAGAAGGAAGATATAATGAGCGTTGAACCGAAGACGATGTTTCCATTTCCCCGTGACTGATATCCAGTACGGGCCGAACGAAGCTTTCGACCGGCCAAGTACCTTTCGGCTTCTCGAGACAGTTCCTCTAGCAACAAGGGAGATTTTTCTCATTGGCCGTCCAGCCTCGTCCGACCTCGTCGATCGACGACCGCTGTCAGACTCCTCATTGCTAATGGTGGCTTTGTTCGTCGCCAGGTCGCCGACGAACATGTTCATTCTGAACATGTGCATCGCAGACCTTCTCCTTCTGGTGATCTATCCTGTCTTCTTCCTCTTAGAGGACTTTTATCAAGCTTACCCTCTCGGATACATCGGGTGCAAGCTTCAGGGCTTCACATACCGTAAGAGCTCTTTCTGTTTCGTTTCATGTCGAATCACCAGGTTCATTTTTTCCTAACGAATCCCACTAGTGCATGCACACTTATTTCAGACGTTTCTTCCGAAACCGACCCGTTAGGTTTCATTCAGCCATTTTAATTGAGATTAAGGCTTATTCGGAGTATTTAATAGTGATCCTGCGCCTGGTGGAGGCCTTCACGCTGACGGTGATCAGCATCGACCGTCTCCTGGCCGTCATCCACCCGCTGCGCCCTCCCATCAAGCGGCGGACGGCGATCATCCTCTCGTCGGCCATCTGGGTCTGCGCCGGTGGGACCAGCACCCCTCTTGTCGTCTCCAGGGATTATCTGGTCGGTCGTCTGTCTCTGTTAATAAGTAAATAAATGTTTCTGGCGTTCTGAATAGCGTGAAGCCACTACGATGATAAGTGATAAGATAACCGAACGGAACCAAAACCCGTCAACGCTAAAGAAGCAGAACCTCTCCCAAATTCGCAATCTCTTGCCACGATTTCCCCTTCTGACGATAATATCTCTCCGTCCTTCAGTATCGACAGTGGAAGGACTTCACGGAGATCACGTGCGAAGAGTCGAAGGAAATCGGGAAACCCTTCTGGCTCTACATGCTCATCTTCCTCGTCTGGATCCCCACCGCCTGCATGATCGTCTCCTACTCCTGGATCTTCTTCAAGCTCAAGGTGTACGAGAAGCGGGTGTCCGGAGACGGTGAGGGCGTCTTCAGGGCGGGAAAAGGGCATTCGAACGTCAGATTTATTTTTCTCCTTCCCAAAGACAAAGTTTCTCAAATTATCTAAAAACATCGAGCGTGAATTGGCACGCCATTCCTGTTCATCAGGGGAAAAAAAAAGAATAATTTTCAAGGCCTATAATGTCTATATTCTCGTTCTCGGGTAGAATGGCCGCTTCGTGTAACTAAACGGAGTGAGAAGAACCATGCAAGGTCCTCGAGTGGCCATTTTTCATATTGATGACGAGAAGTCTCATGAAACTCGACTTTCGCCGATTTGTCTCGCAGAGAACCCGGTCCGGACCAGGCAGAAGCGACAGATCGTCCGGATGCTCTTCGTCGTCCTGCTCGTCTTCACCCTGACCTGGCTCCCCTTCCAGGTCCTCATCCTCTTCCGGTTCTTCGCCCTCGACTCCTTCCAGAAGGACTCGGTATGCCCGCCGCTTTCGACTCGCCTTGGCGAGGCTTTGGACTGAGATCGCAAAATGTGCGGAGTGAGAAATATTAAAGACTCGGGAATCTTGGAAAGAAAGGGTTTCACGATGAGAGGAAAAAGAGAGATTCTAACAACCATATCGTTAGAGCCAAAAAAAAATCTGGAGCACTTCACAATGAATTTGGCGAGGCGAAGCCCAAGCTGCCGGAACGTGGGGAACTAAAAAAGAGTTTCGCCAACTTGTCATGCCCTCAGAGTAGAATACAAAGCCCTGCGGCACTCTATTGTCATATCTCCAGTACTTTCAGATTCAGATCAGTCTGACCATGAACGTAAGATATGTAGAGGTAGATAAGCCAAAAACGGAACTTGTATGTAAATATTCGCTGACAAACAAAAATTGCAAAAAAAATTTGTAGATTTTCGTTAGCTTACTTCTTTACTCCCAGATAAGTTTTTAATGCATTTGGAAATTCCCCATGAATATTTGTCTATGATCCTGTCATTTCCACCACGACGCACGTCGGACTAGGGTTCATTCAAAATAAAAAGCACAGAAATGGTTTTCCACATCTCCACACGCGTGACAGCAAATACTCAGAGAGGGGCAGTGGGATAAAAAAGAAGACAAATTTATCTTGATTTTGGGTGGCAACGAACCGAGAAAAATTTGGTTGATGCATTGGAGCAGCCTATTTTTGGAGAAAAAAAAGTTGTTTCGATGCAGGTGGGTGAGTGGTACGTGATCGCCCGCTTCCTTTCCCGGACGCTGAGTCTCTGCAGCAGCGCGCTCAATCCAGTCGTCTACGGGCTCGCCTTCGACAACTTCCGCAAGGCCTTCCGCATCTCTTTCCCCTGCTTCTTCTCCGAACAGGTGAAATATTTCCATATTTCCGAGGACATTTGAAGACAAAGGAACGTAAATTAGTCGAAAAACAGTCAAAATGATGCAAATTTATTTTCGCCTCTACAGAAATACGAATACGTGCGGAGTGGTCAGCTGTGGTCGCGGCGAAAGATCCTGGTGCTGCCGGCCGAGCAAGGTCAAAAGCCACTCCCCGATAGAAGTCCGACCGCCATTCCAGGTCGCACGTCACGCCCAACCCCAGGGAGGTCCGCCTCGTCCAACCGGATGACGGCATTCGTGAACCCAATCGCGGAGATGCCCGACGTCCGACCCCGAGGTAACACAACAGGACACATGTTGCGTCTGCTCTCGTCTCTTAAGACTTGCGAGCCAGCGGTCAGCTCATAATAAGTTCATTGATTCAGAGGAATCGCATAACCGCCACGAAAAACTCCTAAAGACAGTTCTTGCTCTTGAGTGCTCACATTCCTACGCTATGCAATATCACCCAATATTTTCAAATCTCGATCTCTACCCCCCCCCCCCAGAGCAAAGACTTTGGAGGAACAACGCGAACGCGACACTGTCTTCGTCGCATCCCAACGACACCTGCTACTTCCTCGAGGATCAACTGAGACATCTGGCCCCCAAACAGAAGGCAGGTGATACGTCGAAGGCCTCGACACGATATTCCTGCGTGACCACTCCCACCTTCGCTGTCTTCGAGCTCGACCGATGGAAGAGGAAGTCCTTTGAGTACTTGGCCGACAAGTTTTCCCTGGATCTTCAGGAACCTCGGGCCGTCTTTCACCGACCTCCACGCGATGAAGCCAGAAGACCCGACGTCCGTCTGACCTCGGATGACCTCAACGAGCTGCCCTCGGACCACGTTGCACGGCGTGCGTCTTTGGAGGGTCAAAACGAGCCTTACGGTGATCAACCGGAAGCCGACAAGTCGACTGGTTTCCTGGCCAGAGTCGAACTCCACGACCCGCCGCCAGACGACCTTGCCCGGCATCACTCTGGCCATCAGAGACCAAGGTGCGACAATCTCCTTCGACCCAACACGAACCGCCAGAGGCCAACCGACTCTCGCTCTCCGGATGAGGTCCTCCTCCTCCCGGCATCCCTGGAGCCTGAATCCCTGGAGCTGGCATCTCTGGAGCCGGCATCCCTGAACTTATCGAGGAGCTGCGACCACCTTCCAAGGACGGAAGGAACGACGCAGCCTCTCATCCGTCGCTCGTCCGTCACAGAAAGGTCACAGGCGGTGGAACCGTTCTGTCGCGGGTGTCGACCTCACATTCGTCTTCATTTCGGGTCCTGCCCCGTGTCGGCCTATTCGTACAGTGAAGGGGAGTTGGTGCAATTGATTTGAAAACGCTTCGGTGCTGGTACGGTTCCTAGGTACCGAGGTTCTACGCTTTCTCGGGTCCTCACTCAAATCGCATTCAGGAGCTGCACGGGCCAGAAATGTGAAGTAAAAGTAACGTTATGGGATGAGTGTGGAATTTTCCCTCAGTTACTGCGTGATTGTTGTGGTGGGAAATCTGGGTGAAACGGTCCTAATAAAAAAAAAATCCGTGTGATTCCACTGAAATCTGCAAGAAAATGTCCCGCCTCTTGTTAAGCTCCCGAGTACAAAATAAAGGAATTCTGTGTCCCAGCCAAGAATCGGAATCGAATAGAGATCGAAGAATCCCCGGTTGGGCCTTCAGTCTCCACGATCGCGTTTTCTCCGAGAGAACTCCTCGACCTATGAGCCAGGTTCCAGAAGTTACGTGCAAGAAATGTCGTAAGATTCACGCCCTTATCGGCGATAAATCGATGCCACGAATCGTGCATCCTCGGTCCCTTTCGCCTGCGGACTGGAGCTGGAATGCTGGATGCGGGACAAGTACAGTGAGAATCACGCATGATTTTTTGCCGGAGTCCGGCGAAGTCTCTGAACCCGATAAGCACTTGAAAAAGAAGGGAATAAACCCGGTCGAAGCAACGAGCCTCCTTCGGCGAGGTGGAGGAGAGAAAAGGATGTCTGGAGGATGTTGTGCCGGAAGTTATGTTCGTGATGGTATTAGAATTTCTCGATTTTAAATGTTTTATATTAAAATTCCTGCCGAATGAATACATTTGAAAAGAAGAAATGTACAAAGTATATCATGTTTTCATTATTAAAGAGGTGGGGGGAAATCCATGGGGTCTTCTCTCGGTGGGATCCCTCAAAATGTTCCCACGAACAGAGGATTTCCTTGGAATCTACTTTACGTTCTCAAAATTCCGATTTCCGGATCTGAAGAGATTCGGCTCGGGAATTTCGCACGTTTCGAGCGAGAACTTAACATTTCAAAAATTTTTTTTGTTTCCCAGATTTTCGAATTTTTCGAGAAACAAAGGATCTTTCCCTCGTTCCCTCTGCCGAAATGGTTCCGTCGCATAAGTTGCTCAAATTCCCCAGGTCCAAGCGCGAAGTTCAACGAAGCCAAGATGAAAACGTCGGTGCTTCCAAAAATCACAGATGGGAAGAAAAACGCGTTCTTTTGCGAACAAGTTCCAAACGCCTTTTTTTTTCGAAAAACTATATAGAAGGGAAAATACATCGTAGAGGTAAAGGCCCAGACGCCATTCACGAGGTCGATGCAGTGGACCACAACCTCGGAGACTCGCACTCCTCATTGCAGGACCACCAGTGGATCCAACGGCACTGCTCGGAGCCCGAGATTGCTGCCGTCACTGTTGCCGTCACTACCGCCGTCACTGCTGCCGTCACTGCTCTCTCCCACGATGCAAGAACTCCCCAGAGGACAGCGTCATTGAGAGGATCCCGATCGATGAAACTATCCCAGGGCTTCACCGCGTCGCCGACAGGCTACTGGCTGACTGTGGCGTCACCGAAGTGTTAGATCGACACTGATGGATCCAATGAGTTCGCACCGAAGGATCGACAACGCCGAAGAGTCCACCCTCTGCAAATTCAGCCTCTCGGTGATCGTTCTCCCCCTCTCCTTCGCCCATATCTTTTTCTAATACTTTTCTAAAATTTGGAATCTTTTTCGTCTCGCCTCTACCATCACACGACATATGGCAGACGACCTCCGACGGATAAAACGTCTGGCGGCGACGCCCTCACGATCCCACAACCACGCAGCAAACGAAAACCCTATCACTTCCCGTTCTTCTTCTTCGCCTCCAACTGCCTCGCGTATTCCTGAAGACCCACGAGCTTCTTCCTCGCGATCGCCGTCAGCTGACCCTCCTCCGTGACTCCCGGGTCCACCGAGATGATCTCCAGGCACTCCTGCAGCATCCGCAGCGCCTCCCTCACCCTCCCCTCGTCCGTCTTGCTCCTCCTCACGATCACCTCGTGCAGGTCGTAGAGGAGGAGCGCCCGGAACCTGGACAGCCCCCGGTCCAGCTTGGCTGCCACAGTGAGGAGTTCTCGGCAAAGCTCCTCTTTCCGTTCCAGTTGGGCGGGGCTCAACTCTGCCAGCATATATTCAAACATGCATATTATTTTACTTTATTTTATTTTAAATTGTTTTTATAATTTACGTCATACCATATTATATTATATTATACATTGAATTTTTTTCTGGGAAGCTTTACCTTTATTACTCTCAAAACAGTAGAAAATTGGGTATGATTTTCAACTACTTCCAGTTCAAGTCAGAAAGTGGAGAAGGAAGAGTACGCCACTAGGAAACTGATAGATTCCTAGCAGTTGAGGGGGCAATCTACTGAAATGCAGAAACAATAAAATATATGTCTTCTTTCCTGATGTACTGAGTAATCATCATCAATGGCATTGGGAATGGTATAACTGGTCATTCAATGATATTGCATAGCAAAAAGAGAATGTTACACTTCTAATCATGCAATCCTTCGACGTGTAACTCATGCATGTTGCAGAATCGCACGATTCCGTTCTAAATAATTTCCAGAACCCGCTCCAAATGGATTCCAGGCGGACTGAATTAGAAGTTCCTCGGGCTGCCCGCTTGAAATTTCTCGATCGTATACGTGCAACATAATTTATCTGTTTTGGAGCCCTAACCAACTGCCAGATGTTTTACTCATGGGTCAAGGAAAGGAGCGAGGGCAACTGAATTTTCTTTCCAAAAAGGGGAAAGTTTGATTCAGATTCATTTCAACGCTAAGAAACATGACGGCATTGCAGATCCCCTAGTAGCATATAACATTGAATCACTGGGAAGGTGAAACTCCCAGCCATGGCTGCGACAGAGCTAGTGTCGTGCGGTAGGAAATAAGTTTGAAACTTCCAAGATGAAAGTTATTAGGGGAGCGTGCTTCGCAATAGGGATTTGAAGTTCAGCGATACGTTATATTGTGGGAGTGATTTTCATTTCCGTTCGTACCTCTTCCGTGAAGACCGACGCCGACTGTTTGCCATCGGTCTGCCGCCATTTGACAGACCGATGGCAGTGCTTGCTTGTAATTTACTGGTATGTTAATCATATCCATACTATCCGTATGTCGATAACCTTGTCTTATACGGAACTTTGAGGTGGAATTCGCGTCAATCGTTTGAAAAGGCACCGTTCCCGCGAAATCAGCACGATTCCCCGCCGCGACTCACGGACGCGGAAACCCTCGGACCGCGACGAACTCACCGTCGAGCATGAACCCCTGGACGTGCCCGTAGATCTTGACCAGGGCGAACTTGACCTGGACCATGTAGGAGCTGGTGGGGAGGAGGACGTCGGAGTGGTAGACGAGGAACTCCTCCAGCTTCTCCACCGTCTTGTCCATGGCCTTGATCTCCGAGGCGAGAGACATGTCGCGAGCGCGGATCACGGCCGGCTCCACGCAGGCGTCGCAGGCGTCGCACCTCCACTCGCTCTCCGCGTCCAGGGGGTTCACGTGCGAGACCTTCCCCTCGTCGCACTGGAGGCAGCGCCACCCGCTCAGGTAGGTGCCGAATTCGGTCGGGTCGCGACAGCGGATGCAGTCGCACCAGAAGCACTTGGCGAACGACAGGTGGTTCCGCCTCGCGTAGGTGTTTATCAGGATTTGAATGTAGGTGGTGGTGATCCCCTCGCCCTTCTTGATCGGGACGGTGGCCCGGACGATGATGTTGAGGTTCTCGTCGAAGCAGTGTCGCGTGTTGGGTCGACACTCGTGGGCCATGATGCACGCCGTCGCGTACAGGGCGCGAACGACGACCTTGGGGTGGCGGATCTCGAAGCAGTTGGTGTCCAGGACGCCGCAGACCTCGTGGATCAGGTCGTCGTCGTACTCCGCGACCCCCATGGTGATCCGAATGAAGTCGACGATGTTGTGCTGTCGCAGCTGGAACAGTTTGGTGCCCTTGCGCTCTTCCACGTGCGACTCCATCCGCTCGACGACGCCCCACCGCTCCACGTCCCGTTCCCGGAGCCAGAGGCACCTCAACGGTGTGATGCACTGGTAATACGCATTCGGAGAGACGAGGTCGTCGAACGCGACCTTCCCCTTGGACCGCGACAAGAGCTCGCACTCGGGACGATGGTAGGGAGACGCCTGGCACTTCGGCCCGCAGACGGGCCACCCGCATTCGGTGCATCGGTACTCACCCGTCATCGCGAGGTGGCAGCCGAGGCAGATGGGCGACGAGACCTGCTTGGGCCCCGCCACGAGCGGCGGCTCCTTCATGATCGCCTCGCCCTCCTTGATGTTCCGGGTCGCCACCAGGTGTCGGCCGAGGGTCTCGGAGTAGCACGTCTGCGGCGGGGAAAATTTCCATCCCGGTTATCAGGCTGCAGTAACGATCGGCGAGACGAGTCGAGTCGGCGTCTCGCGTGTCTCTGCTCGACTCGGGCAAGCAGACGGCGTTTTAATTGGGATTCATCGTTTTTGTGGTACTCGAAGTTTTTCGAAAATACCTACGTTCTTCACGCTTTACTGTGGCTTTCGCGTTCATCGTATTCAGGGTTTCTTAGGAATCATAGGATTACGGAGTACGGATCATATCCCCCCTCGATCGAATGGAACCCACTCGCACGAGGCCCATCCTTACGACAAGGTTAAGAACTACGACGAGACGAACTTCTGACCTTGAAGGGCAGACATTTCTCCTTATGGTTCTTCCAGTCCTGGAGCTGATGCTCCTTGGAGCAATAATAGACGTCCTTGCAGGCCGCACACATGCTCCTGGCCTGGATCCCGCAGATCCTGCATTTCGTCTCTCCACTGCCTCCACCCCCGCCTCCATCTCCACCTCCACCTCCACCTCCACCTCCGCTCCCGCCTTCACCTTCGCCTCCACCTTCGCGTGCGTCCGCCTTCTCGCCCTCTGGCGCCGCCTGCTGGTGTTCCTCCTGGTTCTTGTAGGTTTTCTTCCGTCCGGATTTGCCCATGTCTTTCATACCAAGGAATTGCCTCGGCGCTGGTCCCGGCAATGTCGGTGCGTCGATGACGAAAGACGCATTTGAGGAAGAATTTCTGCAAAAAATCAAAACGGCGAAGATTCCCGATAAAAAGATGAATGGCATCCTGACCGCGAAACGTTTCGCTCCAGAAGCGACAAACAACGAATAGGCTCATGCAGGTTGACTCAGGAGCCGCTCGACCCCACAGCATGCGAGAGACGGTCCATGGTTCCCCGACGGTCTCACCTTCACCTTTGCAACGGGGTCTTCCGATAGCGTCCCCGCTGGCGCTATTTCAAGCGACCCATGAGTCACCCCGCATGAATAAACACCGCAACGCTCATATATTACATAATAAATGCAAAAGCACGACAGAACACATCCCTCTATCCAACGCGCATCGCACACCAAAACCAAAAACCGTCCTCGAGAAAGCAAAGTCGAGCACGATCGAAAAGGCCGGCCGACTGCCTCTGCGAGTCCAAATCGCGACAGAGGCCAGCCCCACCAGTCCATTTCGGCACCGTACTGTGCAGGTTCGTTTGGCTTTCGTGGGCCTTCGCACATTTGCACGCGACGAGAGGGGGAGAGAAGGGAGGACGATGTTGGAGCGGTGCCACTTGGAACTGAGGGCGGAGGCTCCCAGGTGCTTCACCCGGCTCCCCGCTTTTCAATCAAGCATTCTTTCGCAGCTCGGTTCTTCCCACTTTATAACGGGGAGGCGGCGGGTGCTCGATGGGGATTCACGAGGGACGCGATAGACTCGAGACTGACTTTTAAGTCGGTCGAGGATTTGGGGGGGTTCGGGCAGGAGACGGCTGGAATCGCGAGGATTCGACGGGGCTTATTGGTCGCTGTCATGACGTCATCGCGAGCAGACGACTCGGAGGCTCGGGGGAGTCGTCTGATTGGTGGGAGTTCTCGTCTCGTCTGCTCGCGGTCGTCTGCCACGGGGGTGGATAGCGGGGTTTCCGATTGTGCGGCTTCTGCTTGATTACGTTTTGCTTTGAGGAGTCCCTGGGGAGACAGTCGAACGGAGAGGCGTTTACGGATGAATTTCATTCATCAATTTTGCTAGGGTTTCCAATTTATTGCAGGGATGTTTTCGCTTTCGTTTATCCTGTTTCGTGCTTCCTTGCACGTGTCGCACGTCGACAAGGCGTCATTAAAGAATTTCTGACATGCCGAACCTCCTCGCGTCTGGGATTCCGCACTGGCAGACGACGATGATGCAGGCGTGTCACGAACGAGGATCTAAAAATAGGCTCCGTGAGCCGGACTGGATGGAGGAAGGAGACGGGGAGGCAGGATAGGAGGGAGGATGGAGGCAGGGGATAAAAATACATCCCTCCGCACTCGCTGTGCCTCGTCGAGCCGCTCATTGTGCTGCTCGCGTTCGGTCGGTGCGGTCGAGATGCTGGAGTTGGAAGGGGTGACGATCGGGGATTGCGCGGTGTGCGGGGAGGCGTCGGCCATGCGGTGCGCCGCGTGTCGCGAGGTCTTCTACTGCTCCAAGCGGCATCAGGGTGAACACTGGAAGGAACATCGGGGGAAGT